TCTACGCCCTATACAGAGCGCTAGTCCATTGGAGACACTACCTCCTAGGAAGATTCTTCTATGTGAGGTCTGACCATGAGACTTTGCGCTGGATAAAGACACAGCCTGTGTTGTCAGACGCACTCAAGAGATGGATTCAAGTGATAGACATGTATGACTATCAACTTGATCCTATCAAGGGTACGTACAACAAGGTGGCTGATGCGCTATAAAGAAGGGCAGATTATCTGGGCGCGCTAGTAACTGAGTTTGGCATATCTAATGACCTCACTCGATCGTTGGTGGAAGCCTATCAAGGAGACCCAGTCATGTCAGAGATCATGCGTAGATTCAAAGCAAAGGATAAAAAGACTTTAGACGAATTTACGATGGTAGACGACTTGCTGTTCCTCGATAAGGCCGGGAATAAAAGACTATGTGTTGCTAATAGTGAGTCTTTGCATAGTTTATTTTTAGGAGAGTGTCACGATGCAACGGGTCATTTTGGCTATAAGAAGACATCAACAAACTTAGTTCAGAGATTCTGGTGGCCCTCTATGATGGAAGATGCAAAACGATATGTTGAAAACCTACCAGGTTTGCCAAAGGGACAAACCGAGGACTCAAGCTCCGCTTGGGCTCATCAAGCCCTTGCCGATTCCTGAAGGTCCTGGTCAAATTGTGTCCATGGACTTCATGGATACCCTTGTGACCAGTAAGTCTGGAAAGAGACACATCTTCGTAATAGTGGACCGTTTTACTAAGTACGCAAGACTAATCGCTATGCCAGAAACAGCTAAAACTGACCACGTCATCAAACTGTTTATGGACAATTGGGTTCGTGATTTCGGTTTGCCTACGTCTATCGTTAGTGATAGGGATGTCAGGTTCACAAGTGAACTATGGCAATCAACTGGTGAGCAAATGGGCACAAAGCTCCAGATGACGTCAGGGAATCACCCTGAGTCAAATGGCCAAGCAGAACAGATGAACCGGGTAGTGCGGCACTTGCTTAGGCATTATATTAAGCCAAGCCAGGATGACTGGGACAAGAAGTTACCTCTCGTCGCCAGCCTGTACAACAATGCTGTGCACAGCACCACCGGTATGACTCCCAACCAGTTACATCTTGGTTGGAAGCCCAGATCTGCGCTTGACTTTCTGTTACCTGAAAGGCAACCTACTGCAGCACCTGGCAGCATAGAGTTTGCTGTCAACTATGAACAGATGCTGCAGCAGGCCGTAGAACACATTCAGAAGTCTCAAGATGCTATGATTGCATCTGAGAACAAACATAGACGACCTTCTAATTTTCAGGTAGGTGAGAGAGTCTGGGTAAAATCATCTGAACTGGGACAAGAGATAGGGATCTCAAGAAAGCTGATGCCTCAGTACTTCGGGCCCTGGGAGATCTTAGATATTGTAGGAGATCAACCTGATGGGCCTTCATACGTGATTCGCATCCCTGCACACCTACGGACTTATCCTGTTTTCCATGCCTCCAAGCTGGCACCTTTTGCTGCCACAGATCTGTTTCCCTCTCGGAGATCTATGCTGCCCCCAACCATGGATGGCGAAGTGGACATTGACCGGATCGTCGAGCATCGGATGATGCTTGTTCCTCGATCATCAGGCAGAGGGCAACCTCCTAAGCCAAGAATGCAGTATCGGGTGAGCTTCAGACATCACCTCGATCCCAAGGAAGATCGCTGGTTCACACGAGAAGAACTCATGAGAACAGCACCTCAAGTGATTGCAGGCTATGAAAGAGAACGGAAAGGAAAGATGCCTGCAGAATAAGAAGACTTCTCAGAGGACTCACGAAGTTAAGGAGGAGGGAATGCGAGGATCAGGGTCCTCGGTAGGCCTATGAGGCCCTGTCTGCAGCCTTACCCGCCCTAAGTGAAGGCGGAGGTGCCCGCCCTAAGTGAAGGCGGGCCTGGCTTTTTGCAAAAGGCCTTCGACTGTCAATTTCGTATTTGGGGTTCAGGCAGTTGMGACGCGCCAGTTGGTTGAAAGAAACACAGGCCGAGCAACAAGGACATTTCCACGGCCTACCGGGCCTTTCCAAAGAATGCAGGCCCTGGCTGTGATTCGCAGCCTCATACAGATCGGTTGGGCGCCCAACCGAACGAGGCCCAGCAGCCCAGTAGCTGCTGCATCCAGGCAGCCTCCTGGGGCCTTCCGGAAGCTTCTGGGCCCAGGCCAAGGCAGCCAGGCTGCGTGAGCAGGCCAACTCTTTCCATAAAGGAAAGAGCTCGGCCCTGGCTGCCTCATTCAGGCACTCGCATGCTGGGCGGCAGCGCTGCTGGAGCTAATGCTCGTAGGCTGCTGCTAGCGCTGGGAGGCGAGGTGCAGCACGTGCGGTCGTGCAGAGGAGGAGGGCGGTGCTGAGGGCAGCGCCATAGCCCAGCCACCATAGCTGGTGGGCTTGGACTACAGTGAAGCGCAGGGGTGGTCTTCGGGTGACAGAGAGGACAGGTGTGGGTGAATTCAGGGGATAGGTGAAGGATGATGATGATGATGATGATGATGTGAGGGCACGTACCTTGTATTGGCGATGGTCTGCATGGGCGGCATCTTCAAGTACTTTGGGCTGCTGCTGATGTCAACAGTTGCATTGTCTTTTTGTAGGCTGTAGTAGCTGTGTAGGAGTAGGCTGGGCGCTGAGTGCCAAGTGTGAGTGTAAGGGAACTGGACTCTTTTGTTGAGAGGAGAGAGTGTGCTCTCCACGGACATTGGTTTTCAGTGCTACGAAACTCCATTGGTGTATGATTGGTGCAATGCTGCTATCTGGACACGGTGTGACTATTTGGCTTGCAATGTGATGGTGTGATTTGGGATTGTCATCTCGCTGTTGCTTATTTTCCTTGCACTAGATATTTTTGCCTCAGAATTCCCCTCCCTGTCCCCCACCAGTGTTTGTTGTAGGTGATTGCCCTGCACCAGTGCAGTGGAACAACATGGCAACATACATTTGACAATTTGACACATCATCAGGGCAATTGCACCGATACTACCAACTTAAATAGGCAAAGCCTGTGGAATGAGGAAATAATGGACTGTGAAGGGTGATGTTTCAGCAAGTCATCACTTGCTCTGCTTTCCTCCACAGCTCTTTCAGCCCATGATTCTCGTCCACCTTCATCAGCCTGTCACTGAATAAACCATCGTTCTGCAAAGTAACTGGGTCTCATAAAACAAATGCACACTGATTCAGGCATTCAGGAGACATTTCTGGTTGCAATCAAATCACTCACCGTGCGGATTGTCTGTTCTTCTGACAAACAGAGGCCCCTAGTCTCAGGGTGATGATGACGGCCCTGCACAGTGGCATACAGCAAAGCAAGCACGAACCAAATCTCTCAGTCATCTCAGTCATGCACTTCAAACAGGACAAGCATCAAGAGAAAGAAAAACAAGCCGGTAGGGAGGAGAGAATTGGGCCCAGAACCAGACCATGAAGCTTTGAGCCCTCGACCAGCCCATAAATCAGGACGCACCCAGGCCAATCCGGGTAGACCTACCCAGGTCAAGCCAGCTACCCAACCCAGTAGAGACCAGGCCAGAGGCAGTCCCTACCAGACTGGATGCCTAGACCCTGGCCTGAAGCAGGCAAAAGAAGGAAGGTCGGTACAGACAGGACATTGGGCATCCGACACCTACAAGCGTGAGCGCTGGCAGACTGCCTACTGGCAAGCAAGTTAGCCAGCGCCCTGGTGAAGCAGTGCTACCGGTGCACCGCGTGCATTGCATGCACATGAGCAGAAGGGAGGCAGAGTGCAGTGAGGAGAAGGGTGGCGAGGTGCGAGGGAAGTCCTTGGGAGAAGGAAAAAGGCTATGGGGACAGGCGGATACTTCCCTGGTAGTTGGCAGGAGAGCACATATGTGAATAGACTCTTCAGGGGCATCTGGCAAGAGGAGAGAGACATGGAGTGAGACCTAGCAGGCTAGTGTTGGTTGCAATGAACCACGATCTGCAGACTCAACACATAACTTGCAGCACACTGAAGATCAAAAGCCACTCCGATGTCTTTACTATTATACAAATTTGAATTTGATACAAACTGTTTATGGCCCCTATCTCCAAGGTCCAGAACAGGTAACTTCTTGCTCCCTCTCTCTCTGTCTCTCGACTCTTCAAACGCTCATCCTACTCTCTCTCTCTCTCTCTCTCTCTCTCTCTCTCTCTCTCTCTCTCTCTCTCTCTCTCTCTCTCTCTCTCTCCACTCTATCTTGGATCGTTCACACTCCCTTCCTGACTACACCTGCCTACCCTGCTTCACCTTCGACCTTCCCCCTTCGTGGGTATGGCCGCCGTCGTCTTCCCTCTCAACCCTCGCTCTGGCGCTCAAACCTCTCCACCTAACCTGACTGTCCAAACCCATGGCCGCACAAGCTCTACAGAAGAGCTTCCACAACATGCAAATTAACAAGTGACCCAACACTGCACTGTAGCAACTACAAATAGCAGCTGAAGTGAATCAATGTCAGCTCCAGTCCGGTACCGGTCGTTGCGGCCCGTCGACTGCAGTTTGCCAGTTCCAGAATCTACCAGACTTTCCCAAGATGCTGCTTAATCGGACTTTGGGACCGCAGTCTTTTCTTGTTGGGTACCGGGCCTACAACTGACTCTACAGACCTACTGGACTCCTACGGCCTAGACTTGGGATCTACCAGGACCAGTCTGGGACTGGGCCCAGGGGGGACACTGAGACCGGGTCACGGGACTCTGAGACCGAGACTTAGGACGTGGGACAACGTGAAATACTTTCACTCCCGCCGGCCTAATTTAGAGGTCCTCCGAGAAAAACTGTGCTTTTACCTATCTGCTACATTCTCTCCCTTCCAGTCTGCTCATAGTCCGAGACAATGTTAAGGCAGCATCCGTTAGATCATCTCTCGTGTACCAGCACTCATCTTCTGGTTCCTGGTAGTAGAACCAGACCTTATACTGTCCCCATTGTCTGCCCCTTCAACCGGATCTGTAGACATCTTTGTCTACAATGCCGTCTATGTCATACCTGCCATCCATATCCAGTGGAATCATGGATCTTCATCAGGGGAACTTATCGTTAGTAAAGTAAGGTAACAGCTTTGAGGCGTGGAACACAGGGTAGGTATGCAGATGGGCTGGAATATTGATCATATAGGATGGACCTTCGTGAGGGGAGCTTATTGTTAGTAATGTAAGGTAACAGCTTTGAGGCGTGGAACACAGGGTAGGTATGCGGATAGGCTGGAATATCGGTCGTATAGGACAGACCATCTAACAATCCCTTCACATCAAACACTTCCCACGGTCCTCCATATGAGGGTAGCAGTTTCTAAGAAATACCTTCTTTGGGTAGAAACTCCTTAAACTTCACATTGACAATATTTCCAAAGGCGAATTGCAATGGCTTGCAATGTTCGTTTGCTTGCTCTACCATGTCGGGCCTTTCTAATGTTGTCTGCAACTGTGCGCAGGTCATTCTCATAATTCCGTGCGAATTCCATAGTGCCTGGCGGTAACGTTTGAATCAGATCATGGTTCAGACAGTCTCTTGGCCTCCTAGGGCGCCATCCCTTGTGGAAATCATTCGGTGTGCATGAGGCAGCGAGATGCACAGAGTTGTTGTATTTGTGCTGGCTGCCTTAGGTAGGTGTTCGTCCCAGTCTATCTGATCAGGTCTAACATCTGTAACACTTGGTGCAGTAGCTTATTTATCTGTTCTTTTTGTCCGTTGGTTTCTGGATGCCTACCAGACGCCATAGTCAACTTTGACCCATACACTTTCATCAACTGCTGGCATTGTTCGCCGGTGAACCTTGTGTCATGGTCATTTGCTATCGTTAATGGGTAACGGCTTTAGCAGTCCCAGCAGGAGCTGCGTGGATGATAGGCTTTGCAGCCCTTAATGTATGAAATGCAGTCATGTTTCATCCCTACTCAGGTGTATGAATGAAGCAGGTTGGCATACGTGTTTCTCCAACCAAAGTGTCCTTTCAAGTCATGCCACTCACCTACGATCAGACTGCGAACTTGTTCGCTGTTTGGAGTGCACAAACGGTCCTCTATGTCTGTCTTCTCCAAAAGCAACCTGTCCGCCACCCTATACTCCGACACTTCACGGGGGGCTTCCTCCGCCTTACTTATGATCGCGCTAAGGTGAGGGGCATCCGAGTCTGCAGCCTTGATCTCTTTGCTGCAGTTCAGACCTTGTGTGTGTCGAGGTAAGTGACTATTGCTCCAAAGAAATCTTCCGTTCTACTCAACGGGTCGGCGACAACATTATACTTCCCCTTGACCAGGGTCTTATATTGAAGTCGAACCATACTTGCGGCGCACCAGTGCGGTGCGCCTTGCGCCGTGCGCGGCTCTGAGATGCGAGCGCACGTGCGCACACCGCGCACAAAAAGCGTACAGGTGCAGCGCACTGTGCAGGGCGCAACTTCGCTGGTGCGCCACTGGTGCGCGGGCCTTCTTTTTTTTTTCTTTTGTTGTGTGTGTGTGTGTGTGTGTGTGTGTGTGTGTGTGTGTGTGTGTGTGTGTAGTGCAGGGCAGCTGCCGTCGTAAACTTTGATCCGAGTTCCCGCCCTCCAACCAAGTTCCCGCCCTGTATGGAGGSCATTGTTGCCCCAAATGTATCCTACTCTACTATCAGGTCGCATACAGTCATGATTGGCAGTGTCAGAAGAACGGCAAAAGACAACTATGTCTAGAAAAACAAAAGCAAAAAAAAACCAAAAAAACAGCCCGGGGGTCATCTCGTATCTCCTACTGACACTACCTTCTTCCCCCGAATACAACATTCGGTCATTATAGCTGGCATCTTTCCGTCTAGATACAGCTATAATGACTGTACGTTGTATTCGAGGGAAGAAGGTAGGATTTTTCTGACGGCAATGATGCCTGGAATCACGCCCGTAGCTGAGTCTAGAAGGGTCATAGGGCGTCGCTGCACTCCTCCGGAAATGCACAAAAGACAAAAAACATGGCGATGTATATTCCCTTGTTCTAGGGGAAGATTCACTCTCGTTTTGCACATTTCGAGAGTGGTGGAGCGAGGCCCATTGTCAGGTGTATCCGTTGTCCAAAAACGGGAAGCGAAGCCCATTGTCAGGAGTATCCGTTGTCCAAAAACGGAGCCACGCCCCATGAGGATGGGCCTCGCTCCAGTACTCTCGAAATGTGCGAAACGAGAGTGAATCTTCCGCTAGAACACGGAAAGATACACCACCATGATTTTTGTCTTTTGTGCATTTTGAGAGTAGTGGAGCGAGGCCCGATGTCACGGACGTTCTCTCTCTCTTTTTTTTTTTTTTTTTAGCAAAGCCACCAAGGAAACTCAACTGTCAGTTCTGTCGTTTTCTATATCTGGAAGTAATGAGAGGAAAGCAACGGTTCCACAGACGCGTCCTCATCATGATTGTATTGGACCTCTGAAAGGACTCGGATACACTGGAGATAGCATCGAGTTGTGCACAGCAAACATGACGACACACTGAGTTTTGGGGGCAGCGCGGCCCTGAAAAAAATTTGTGCGGGCGATGTCCGAATTTTAGCCGGGCGTGGGAACTTCAATTCACCCTCACCCCAAATTTTGCCCATGCGGCGCACCGGGTGCGTGCGCCACGTGCGCAATGCGCAGTGCGCCGCATGTGCGGGAGTGGCGCGCATGGGATGCGCCGCAAGTCTGAGTCGAACTCATCAATCTCTGCCGCCCACCTTGCTAACTTAGTTGACATTCGGGCCTATGTCTTCAACCAGCGAAGTGTCTCATGGTCCGAGTACACTCTGAAATGCCGTCCTAACGAGTAGTGTCGCCAATGGTCCAAAGCCTCTCGCAGTGCGTACAATTCTCTTTTGTAGGTTGATGCGGCAACTTTCTCAGTAGGCAATTTATGGGATATAAACTCAACTGGCCTATAGGCATCCCCATTGTTCTGTTGGAATACTGCACCAATGCCATATTGACTTGTGTCTGTCGTTACAATGAAACGCAAAGACAAATCGACTATTTTTAGGACCGGGTATTCAATTAGACATTTGTTTAACTTTTTAAAAGCGGAGATGCAGTCCTTGTCCCATTGCCAAATTGTCGCCTTTTTCAACAGTTTACACAGCGGTGCAGCGAAATTACGAATGAATTTACGGTAGTAATTAGCCGCCGAGGAACAGACGTAGTTCTGTCAATGTGCGTGGTGTTGGGCAGTCTTGAATTGCAATGATCTTAGCATCCTCCAGTCTGACTACATCCCCATCAACCACGTGTCCTAAGTGCAAGATTTGGTGCTTGGCCCACTCACACTTCTTCCGATTCGGTTGGAACTTAGCCTT